CTCTGATGCCTACATCCCATGCTGATTTTAGAAGGCCATCCCTCCAAACAGTGTCAAAAGCTTTTCTGAAGTCCAAGAAGGCTAGATGGGTTGTTTTTCCCTCATTGCGTCGACAAGCAGCAATACTTTTTAAAGTAAAGATATGGTCTTCGCATCTATAGCTCTTCCTAAACCCTCCCTGGACTTCAGAAAGGATATTTCCACTTTCAAGATGGCATGAGACATTTAATGCAATAATCTTACTAAGAACTTTTAAAACACATGAAGTTAAAGATATTCCACGGTAATTATTTAGATCTTTTTTATCACCATTTTTAAAAATGGGTACAACAATACTTAAATTCCATTCATTTGATATTTTTTCAATTTGAATAATTTTGTTAAAAAGGCTTAATAGAACTTGATGCATTATATTACCTCCATTTTTTAAAAGTTCATTAGTAATGCCATCCTCACCTGGGGCTTTGTTATTTTTTGCAAGGCTCAGAGCTTCTTTAATAACATCAATATTTATTTCAATATCATAAATACATTCAGTATCATTATCATTAATTGGAAATTCCAATCCCTTTAAGCTATTTCTTATCTGATTTACAAATTTCTTGGTCATGTAGGTGTTGTTTTCAAAAGGATTAATATTTGTTTTACCAAGTGATTCCCAGTAAATAATAATAAATAAATAATATAAAATCTTCATCCATCTTAATATCCCAAATAATTTTTTTATGATTTTTACAATAATCTTTTTTCAAGTTTTTCATATTCAGTTTTAGTAATAACATGTTATGATCACTACCAAATCCTAATTAATAGATTCCTAATTCATCTATCAATAATTCTTTTACATGGTTGAGAATATTCTTTGAAGATAGGAAGTAATCAATAGTAGTTTGTTTATCACCTCTTACCCAAGTCATTTTACCTTTACAAAAAATGGTGCGATTTAAGATTGACAAGTTTGAGTCCTTACTAAATTCTAAAAGCCTATGACCATTTGTGTTTAATGTAGGGTCACCATTGGGTATAGCGTTGCCTATTCTAGCGTTGAAGTCGCCCATTATCAAAATTAGCGGGTCCTCTTCTTTGTTAAACATATTTTCAATTTGAATTGTTTCAGATAACAAATGATTATACAATTCATCTGTCATTTCACTGTCAACACCTTCAACGGGAAAATATGCAAAAGCAATAAATATTGGTTTATCTCCATTAACTTGAACCTTAACCCACATTCGTTCATATTCGTCGGACTTACAGTTAAATATATCATCATCCAGGACAACATTATCATTAGATATAAACATACCAATCCCACCGCCACCTTTATGCTTTCTATTCTTATATACCCATCTGTAACCACATACAGATATATTATCATCTTTTAAAAATGTCTCAGCAACACCTAAAATCTGAACATCATTGATTGTTAAGAACTGTGAGATTTCAAACACTTTAGGTCTAATTCTATTGACATTATTAAAAGCAATTTTTAACTCTTCAATAACAGGTTATTGTTTACCTTTACCCTTTTTACTTCTTCTGTGGCGTCGTTTGGTATGTAATGGTTCCGAAGCTTTTCTGTTTTTGTTAAGTTTGATTTCCTTTAGGTTAGTGTTTAATTCGTCACCTAGTATGTGGTATCTATTATTATATAGAGTTGTGTTGTTGTGAGCTAG